TCCTCCTCCTCCCCTCCTCCTCCTCCTCCTCCTCCTCCTCCTCCTCCTCCTCCTCCTCACCTTGCCTCTTCCTCCTCCTCCTCCTCCACCTCCTCCTCCTCCTCCTTCTGGGACATCCTGGGGTCATCACGCACGGCCGGGAACTTTGGCTCAGCGTGGCGGACCGCCGGTTCTGGCCGACCACGCTTCGGCGCGACACGCTGCACACGTCCCCCCCTGCGGAGCGCAGCGACACGCTGTCCGCCCTGCGGAGCGCAGCGACACGCTGTCCGCTTGCAAGGCATGGCGTGCCGCCGGAGCCCGCCGCGACACGCTAAGCAAAAAAACAGAATCGTATACTTTTTGCTCGTGAGAAGTATACGCGTTGCATTACAAGTGTGATCTGGGAGGCTCCACCCAAAAGCCAGCACCATGGCCTCCGGCCTGCTCGCGGATTCGAAGTCCGGCAGAGGATCCGCGGCCGACTGCGACGCAGGAGCAGGCCCAGGGGCTGATTGCTCAGCGTAGCCTCCCAGACACCAGATGGGATACGTTTATACATGAACCGTTGACTTGGTAGATGTATATACACACGTATAGCATATACGTATACATGCGGTGCCCATAAAACTGGGTTGTCAAGCAACTGAACTGAGGCAAATGTGCATAAACACATATGCCTATGCATATGTGTGTACGTATGTACACATTGTTACACATATACACACACATACATACGTACACACTTGCATACATGTGCAGATATCTATATCTATATATATACAAGTGGCACGTGTGTGCCCAGGCTCATACAACAAGCTGAAGGGGCGTTTGAAGCAGGAGTGACATGCAACAGCGAAGTCGCACTCGAGCGCAAGTGGGGTTGCCACACCTTGCGATGTGTGTACCAGGGCCCCCCAGAAAGCCTCAGGAGGCCCGACTTGGATACCAGAGGAGGCTCCAGGAGGCCCCAGGATTGTGAGTGTTGTGTGTGTGATGTGTGCTTTGTGTGGTGCATGCTTTTTGTGTGTTGTCGGTGTTGTGTGTGTATGTTATGTTTGTCTAGCGTGTGATGTGTTGGGCGTGATTTGTGTCTCTGTGTGTGCATGTAGTTCTGAAGCCCCAGGAGGCCCCAGGCGGCCCCAGGCGGCCTCAGCAGGCCCAGCAGAACTCCAGGAGGCTCCGAGGCGGGGTCTGGGGTACCAGAAGGTCCAGAAAGCCCCAGGAGGCCCCAGGAGGTTCCAGGAGGCCCCCAGGAGGCTCCGAGGAGGGGTCTGGGGCTCGATTTTGGGAGGATGTCTCAGGCGAAACCGCCATTCTGTGAGAATCGGGGTCAAAATTATTGAAGTTACCATATGTTTTTGAAGGTTTTATGTTAAAATGTTGAAATTCCCATGTGTTTTTGGACCCTGACGTCACGATCTGCGTGAGGGGTGCCACCGATTTTCAGAATTTCGAGGATGTCCCGAGCGAAACGGCCAGAAAAATCGCGGACGACGTGCGCATTAATCGCTTCTGAGCTCTACTCCCTCGGAGAGGTGCGTATGATAATATATATATAGATATATATATATGTATATATATATACATATGTATACGTGCATACAGACATGCATGCCAATGTACATACAGACAAACAAACGTATATACGTACATACACACATACATACACACATAAAGGCATGCATGCATGCATACACGCACACATACATACGAACTTACATACATACATGCCAAGGCATCCATGCACACAGACATACGAATCAACAAACGAACTAACAAACACACAAACAAGCAAACAAAGCACCAACAAACACACACAGCCATGCATGCATACATACATGCATACATGCATATGTGCATGTAGATGCTTGCGTCGGTATACACACTGTTAACGTCCCCCCCATAACTCCCTCTGGGGAGAGGTGGGGGCCACGTTATAGTTGCTGACCATCTGCTGACCACCCTTTGGCTCATTAGCGTAGTCCCCCTATACGTCCCAGCAGTGCTGGTCGATGCCCACATGGGGCTACAGTGCGATCCAAGATCCAAGACGGCACAGATCTGGCCCGAAGATCCTCCTGGAGGGCGCCAAGAGAGGCCAAGAGAGCCCACGGGGCCACAGGCCGCGCGGGCAAGTTGGTACCATCTCGCAAAAACAAGATCCTCCGGGTCGGGTTGGGTTTTTCCGAGTTTCGGAAGGCTCGAAACCTTGGGCCCAGGCTAGCTTTTTTTTTCTAGGGTCTCGGGGAACTCCAAGCCCCGACCAAGAGAAGCCGGCGGCCCGCGTTGCGTTTTCGCAGGGTTTTTGGAAAACTCGGAAGCCTGGGCCCAGGGCAGTTTTTCCAGGGGCTCTGGAGCCTCCAAACCCCGCGCCCAGGTCAGTTTTTCCAAGGTTTCGGGGAGCTCCAAACCCCACCTCCGGGTCGGGTTTGGCTTTTCTGAGTTTCGGGAAACTCCAAACCCCGGGCCCTGGTTAGTTTTTCCCAGAGTTCCAGGAAGCTCCAAGCCCCGACCGGGGGACGCCGGCGGACCCGCGTTGAGTTTTCGCCGGGTGCGTGGAACACTCGGAAGCCGGGGCCCCGGTTCGTTGTTCCAGGGACCAGGAGAAGCCGGCGGGCCCGCGTAGACTTTTGTCAGGGTTTTTAGGAAAACTCCGAACCCAGGGCCCGGCCGGGTTAGTTGCTCCAGGGTTCTGGGAAATTCCAGACCCCGCGCCCGGGGAGTTGTTCCAGGGTTTCGGGGAACTCCGAACCCTGGGCGCGGGTTAGTTTTTCCAGGGCTTGGGGAAGTTCAAAACCCCGACCAGGAGAAGCCGGCGGACCCGCGTAAACCGCGCGGTGTGTTCGCAGGGTGTCTGCGGATGGTGGCCGAAGAGACCCGGAGAGTTCCCGCAGGGTTTCTGGAAAATTCGGAACCCGCGGCCCGGGTTAGTTTTCCAAGGGTTTCTGGAAACTCCAAACCCCGGGCCCGGTTTAGTTTTTCTAGGTTTCCGAGGGGCCCGCTAGATCTGCGGGGAAGGGAGGGCTGGGAGTGGCGAAAATTCTATGCGAATCCGCCGGCTTCTCCTGGTCAGGGCTTGGAGTTTCCCGAAACCCTGGAAAAGCTAACCAGGGCCCAGGGTGCCGAGTCGTCCAATAACCCTGGCAGAACTCTAGGTGGGTCCGCCGGCTTCTCCTGATCGAGATCTGGAGTTCCGTTTGGGACCCTGGAAAAACTAACCCGGGCCCTGGTTTGGGAGTTTCCCGAAACCTTGGGAAAATGAATTCGGGCCCTGGGTTCGGAGTTGCCAGAAACCTTGCGAAAAAAATACGCGACCAGAAACGCGATATCCGCGTGTCGAGTTTATTCGAATTCCGACAAAACAAATTCTGCTATACTCGTGTTTGTCTGTTTGTTTGCTTGTTTCGGCACTGGGTAGAGAGCGACTGCGCCGACAGCCATGAGAGCTTCGCTTTATCAGAAAACCTCAACCAATGAAACTATTTCTTCTGAAAGTTTGTTTGTTTCGGCGGAGGACGAGATCCGGGAGAACCCGAGCGGTGATACCCAGACGGCGAAAGAAGCAAATGTCGCAGCAAAAGGTCGAGCTTCGCGAAACCTCGTGAAAGCAAGCCTTCCGCGGTAATATCGAGTTAAAACCTGCTCTAAACAAAAATGCCCACGAGGTTTCTCCACGGGGCCCCCAAGATGCTTCACGACAGCTCAAGACGCCACAAGAGGGCTCCAAGAGGCCACACAGATGCCAACATGATTGGCTTGCTCGCCGTTTCGGCCCTCTTAGCGCCCAAGACGGTCGTACAGACCCTCAAGATCGCCCCAAGACGGCCCACAAGGGCCCCAAGAACGACCCAAGACAGCCCAAGAGGGGCCCCATGCGCCCCAAACGGCCCCCCAGAATGGCTCACAAAGGCCCCAGCAAACCAAATGAGGCCCCTTGACGGCCCCGAAACAGCTCCAGGAGACCACAAAGACGGCCCAGAGGGTCCAAAAGGACCAGAAGACAGTCCCAAAGCAGCCACGGGAGACTGCCAAGACGTCCTCCAGGATGGCCTGATAAGTACCCACGTCGGGTCTCAAACGGTCCAGATCCTCTCAAATGCGATGGCTTGCAATCAATAGTTTCGCGCGCCCGAGAGCGCCCGAAAACGATGGCCCCAAGGCAGCCCATCGGTTGCCCAAGAATGTCCACCCCAACCACCAGCGACCTGCCACCTCTCTGCATGCGCCACGCCATGCTCAGCCTTCCCTAGCTGAGGGTGGTCAGCACCCTGCCGACGGGCGAGTTCGTCGCACATGCTGCGCTCGAACGTCCTGCCACTTGGGGCGTGTCCGGTCGGGCTGCGTTTCCGCCGGATGGGCTTCGGCCTCGGCGTGTTGAGCAGCAGGCGCCGCACGGGGCGAAGGACGGCAGGCGCACCGCCGTTGGGGCCCCAGGAGAGCCCAGGCGGCCCAACGACAGCCCCAAGAGATCCCAAGCACATTCCAGAGGGCCGCAGGGTGACCCAAGAGGGCCCCAAGGCGGTCCAAGCGGTCCCCAAGCTGGCCCCCAGGAGTGCCCAAGACCCCCAAGACGACCCAGGAGCAGACGGAAGCCTTGTCTGGCGGTGTCCACCGCGAAGCGGTGTGTGTTTCTTTTCGCTTCACGGAGTGCGAGTCAGGAACTCGTCAAGTTTGGGCGTTGCGATCGCATGTTATGGCTGGAGGAGGAGGAGGAGGAGGAGGAGGAGGAGGAGGAGGAGGTCGTGTGGAGGTTTCTTCGGATCTTGTGGGGCTTTTTGCGGGGCTATTTGAGGCCTCGGGAGGGCCTCCTTGCAGTCGTTGGAGGCCCCCTTGAGAGTCCTCTTGGGGCCCTCCGGGGGCATCTTGGGAGCATTTGGGGGGCTTCTCATCAGGGGCCATCTTGGGGGGAGGGCTCCCAGCGCCCCTTCGACTTCCCCACCTTGAGCCCCGCTTGGAGCCCTCCCAGGGGCATCATCGGCCGTCTTGGAGGTCTCATCGGCCGTCTTCAGGCGCAGCAGCATCAGGTCAGCAGTCCAGGGAGCGTGAGAGCGAATGTGGAACTCGCGGCTTGGCCCAAGCCATGCATGAGCAGTTGTATTAAGCGTAGCGTTTGTAGAATTATTGTGCGTGCCAGGCCATGATGAGTGGAAGAGCGGTATTTGCCTGTGTTGCAATACACGTTACGTCTTCACCTGTCCCCGACGCGTATTGCACAATACGGGATTCACATGTACCTTTGGATAGTTTGCGTTCCAACAGTTCACGGATGTGGCAAAGCATAACCACAATGGCTTCGCTTGGTTTGTTCGAGGGTCCCGAGGGTTCCCAAGGAGTGTCCCGTGAGGCTTTGACTGATATCGACGTGAGTTCCCGCAGGTTGTTAGATTCTTGGGCTAAGCAATTGAGGTTGCACCGTGACGTTGACGTCGTAGGGAATACGTACTACCGGAGGCCAGGGCGGAAACCTGGCTCGGGTGTTGTAGCGTTTGGTTCGCATTTGGATACTCAACCTGAAGGTGGACGCTTTGATGGATCGTATGGTGTCCTTGCTGGACTGGAAGTGCTCCGCGTTCTTGACGAATCGGGCATTGAAACTGATGCTGACCTCGAGCTTGTGAATTGGAGCAACGAAGAGGGCTGCCGCTTTTCTCCTCCAATGATGGGAAGCGGGGTAGCGACTGGTCAGTTGTCAGTGGAGGCTGCAAGGTCATCCACTGCCCGAAATGACCCAGCTACCACTTTCGGTTCAGAGCTGCAGCGGCATGCTTTGGTTGGAACTGCTGTGGCGGACGTGAAGTCGCGTTCTTGGACCAGTTATTTCGAAGCTCACATCGAACAAGGCCCAACCCTGTATGATTCTGGAGTTCCAGTCGGAGTTGTCATTGGTGGACAAGGTCAGCGTCTATTCACAGTGCACGTGAGCGGATTCGAAGGTCATAGCGGCACAGTGCCAATGGACAAGCGACAGGACGCTTTAGTTTGCGCGAGTGCCATGGTCATCGAAGTACGTAACATCGGAATTTCGTATACGGTCTTGACGACTGTAGGAAGTTTCTCAGTATCGCCTGGAAGTTTCAACACAATCCCTGGAAGGGTAACGTTTTCAATCGACATGCGCTCGCCTAACACTACTGCCATGGACTTGGCAGAGGAGAAAATTCGGCGCAGATTTGCCAGCATCGCAGCGCTGGAAAATTGCCCAGAGACCGCCATCACCCGAACCAAGAGCCGAAATCCGATAGAGTTTGATCCACAATTATCCGCTCGCCTGCACGATGCAGCCAGCACCTTGGGGCTGCAGGCCTCGAGTTTATGGTCAGGCGCTGGACACGATGCCTGCTACGTGGCGGAGAAGGTCCCTGCGGCCATGCTGTTTGCCCCGTGCAAGGATGGGATCTCGCACAACCCGCGCGAAAGCGCCACGCCGGCCGATCTGGCACTGGGCGTCGACGTGCTGCTGCGAGCAGTTCTGGGCACTGCCGTCGAGACCGCATGCTAGAAAAGAACAGCCCAGGGTGGGAGGAGAAAAAAGAGGTGGAGGCGGAGGAGAAGGAGGAGGGAGGAAGTGGGGGAGGAGGAGGGCGACGGCGAACGGGAGGGGAGTGTGGGAGGGGGGGGGGGGGGGGGGCGAAAACGAGGCGAGAAAACGAAGATCAGGAAGTCGACCTCCTCGCCCCGCCCAAGACCGTGCGGACGGGAGCGCACGCGCAGGGAGCCCACGCCGCCCGGGAGCACCCCACGCGGGGCCTCCGGCGAGGAAGGGGGCCTCGCCCTCGAGCCGCGAGGGAGCTCGACGTCTCTGCTCCTCGGCGGAGGGCGGTGTGGAAGGCCGGCGGAAGCAAACTACGAGGGCGGCTCCGCCCGCGGAAGGGGCGCGGAGAAGCCGGCGGAGGCGAGAGAGAAAGGCGCCGCGCCAGGAGGCGAGATCGTTTGGGAGGCGCAGGGTGGCCGGAGCCCGCCGCAGGGAGGCAGGTCCCAAACGTCCGGCTGCTCCAAGTGTTCTGGTGCGTGGGCCCAGGAGTCCGTCGGGGGACCCGGGTTTGCCAGGACTCGGGTTCGCCATCGTTTTTTGACGACCGCGACTCGGATTTTGACGAGTAGGAGTTTCGTGGGATGTCTGCAGCGGGAGGCCTCGTCAAAATGCAGGCTCGGCCTCGTCATTTTTTTAACGACCTCGTCGGGGATTTCCGAGTCCCCTGTACCCGGGTCTCACGCCCCCCTGAAGGAGGTCCGGACCACTTCCCCCCGGACCCTTTTTGCGTCCCGCATCGTTGTTTGACTCTCCCGAGGCCAGGCGAGGGCCCCCGGTGCCAAAATGACCGCCTGCTCCAATTTCTGTTGGAGCGTCGGATCTCAGGGTCTGCGCCTCTGCACCCCCGCTTCCCCCGAGGGTTCACCGCAGCTCCTGGGAGGGGCGCGGAGAGGTAATCGCGCCTCGCACGTCGGGGCCTCTCCAAGGGGGCGATGCGCGAAGCCGGGTCACCCATAGCGTGGCTCAAGGTTCTATTCGTTCCTGCTTGTCGCAGGAAGGGAAAAAGCACACAGACACAATGAATCGTCGCCTCCCAGGAATATGGGAAGTGGGGGGACGACGAAAATCCAGAAAATTATATAAAAAGTTTGATTTAAAAAAAAAATGGGATGTGTGTCTATCTATTTGTGTGTCCCTGGGCCCCTTCATTGCCTTGGCGGCGAGGCGTCTCAAACTGGGGCGGAGGGCCGCGCGAGTCGTCCATGCGACGTCTCTCGGTGCTCTCGGACTGCTGGCCCCCCCTCGCACTGCGGAGGTGTTCTCCAGGGACGCCGCTCTCTGCCACGAGTGGGGAGGGCCCAGACCCCCCCCGCGCTGTGAAATTATCCCAGTGCGACCCTACCTAGGAGTTGGAGCCTCTAGGAAAGCAACATTGGCAGCAGCAATAGTGGATGCTGTGCTGCGCTATGCTCTGCTCTGCTATGCTATGCTATGTGATGCTATGTTATGCTATGCTGCGCAATGCGATGTTGGGCTAGGCTAGACTAGGGTATGCAATGCTAGGATATACTATGATATGCTGCGCTGTGCTATGCTAAACAATGCTATGTTATGCTATGCTATGTTGCGCTATGCTATGCTATGCTGAGCTATGCTATGTTATGATATGCTATGCTATGCTTGGCTATGCAGTGCTAATGCTGTGCTGATGCTGCGCTGCGCTAGGCTAAGCTAAGGTAAGCTAAGCTAAGCTAGGCTAGGCTAAGCCAAGCTAAGCTAAGTTAAGCTAAACTAAGATGAGGCTAAGCTAGGCTAAGCTAAGCCAAGCTAGGCTAGGCAAAGTTAAGCTAAGCTAAGATACGATAAGCTAAGCTTAGCTTAGCTTAGCTTAGCTTAGCTAAGCTGGGTGAACCCAGGGGGGCGCAACTGGGGGAACCGCGGGGCAGATCCTGGGGGAACCGCCCGGGGTGGGGAGCACTGCCCGGCCCTTTAAGCATACAGGGTAAGAACCCTTCTAGGCAGAGCCTAGGTAGGGAAAAAGCACGACGGGAGGTTTTTCGCTATGTTCGGCCTCAGGGTGCCCTTCCCGGGCCTCGGGACCGTCAACAAACGAGTCGGGATGAAAAAAAAATTGGTCCCAGGGAAAGGGTCCAGACCTCTGGGCGTCGACGCTGTGAAAAAATCACGACGTCGGGGGCCTGGGGCAGCCGCCAGGTGGGCCCACCAGGAGGGAAGGCAGAGGGCGTTTTGGGGGGGTGGCGCGGCACTCGACGACTCCTCACGCCACCGGATTCCAGGTGGTTCCAGGGGGCGTGGGCCTACCGACCTTCATGTCGGAGGTCGGGAGATCCGCACAGATCTCTTGGATCGGCGCCGGGCCCCTCTCCCTGGCGCGCGGAGCGCGTCAGGGGCGGCGCTGGAGGCGCCGCCAGCAGGGGTGCAGCGCCGATCCAACAAAATGCGCGCGAACCTCCGCGCGTGGCATGCTCAGACCGATGCTCCTCCCTCTATTTTGACGCTCCTCCGGGCCGTCGAGACGTTTTGGGCAATTTGGCCAAGCCCAACGTGCAGAGGAGAAAAGGAGGGAGGGAGGGAGGATGGCAACCTGGTGCCGAGCCCTTGGTGTCTTCAGCCGAGGAGATTAGAAGGCACCTCATTCTCTTCGCCCCCTCTGAACGGAACGAGGGGAGGAGGAGCCGCAGGTGGCTGGGAGCGCAATGGGCTTTGGTGGCCACAGGAGGACGCTCCTCCGACAGCCAGTTCCTCCTGCTCTGCTCCAGAGATTCTGACACCGCCTGATCGAGGCAGAGGGGAGCGGGCCAAAGCCCCAGACCTCTGACGTTATGTTCCACAAGTCGGCTTGCCCAAGGGGTTCTTACGTGGTTCAAGGCGGGTGCCTCCTATTGCTATTTTGCCCGTTGCACGGAGGCTCCTCGGGTTCCTCGGGTTCCCCGCCCCCAGTGCCTCCTATTGTTAGTTTGTCCGTTTCCAGGAGGTTTCTCAGGTTCCCTGGGTTCCTCGGTTTCCCCGGGTTCCCCAGGTTCCCTGGGTTCCCGGTGTTTCCTATCGTTACGTTGCCCGTATCCAGGAGGTTCCTCGGGTTCCTTGGGTTCTTCGGGTTTCCCGCCCCCGGTGTCTCCTGTCGTAACAGTGCCCCGTTCTTCCGAGGTTCCTCGGGTGTGGCAATGCCGAGCAACGCCAAGCAACGCCAATCAATGAACAGCAATGCCAGCCTATGCAAAGCAACGCCAAGCAATGCTAAGCAATGCCAAGCAATGCTAAGCAATGCCAAACAATGCAAACCAACGCCAACCAACGCCAAGCAACGCCAACCACTTCCGCCGCGCGCCCCCTGGCTGGCGGAGTCCTGGCCGGCGGCGACACCCGCGCCACTCCACCTCTCACCTAACTGCGCGCCGCCCTGAAGGCGCAAGTGTCTCCTGGGGGCGCCCCGACTGGCAGCCCGGGCTTTGTCCCCCAAGGGGTGGGCATACAAGATTGGCCCTATGGCGCGCCCATCCCTCTCACACCTGTTGCCCCGACTGCCCTAGAGAATTGCGCGCCGCGCCTGCCTGCCTTTTTCCGCGACCTCCCCTCTTTCGATTGCACGTTCGTCTATCGAGCCTGTCATCAGCAACGCGCAGAGCTAACATGCTGAAGTTTTGCCTCTGACCTCCCTCTCCTGGTTTTCAATTCCCTCCGCGCGAAAAGCAGGCGCTCCGCCGCGTTCGCCCCCCCCTCCTGGAGGCCAGGCGCCGCGCGATCGCAAAGCAGTCCGCCAGAATGCAGGAGGCGCTGTCACGGGCTTGGCGGTGAGGCGTAGGAACCAGGAGTCTCCCCGGGGGGGCGCTCACTCCTCCTCCTCCTCGCTCCTGTTCCCCCTCCTCCTCCTCCTCCTCCTCCTCCTCCTCCACCTCCTCCTCCTCCTCGTCATCTTCCTCCTCCTCTTCCTCCTCCTCCTCCTCCTCCTCCTCCTCCTCATCATCATCATCATCCTCTTCCTCCTCCTCCTCCTCCTCCTTCTTTCTCCTTCCTCCTCCCCCCTCCCTCCGTACTCCTCATCGTCCTCCTCCTCCTCCTCCTCCTCCTCCTCCTCCTCCTCCTCTTCCTCCTCCTGGTCGCCCTGTTCTTACGCTTGTGGACAGCTCTTCGGGCAGCCGAAACCCCCCCAGAGCGCGGAGCGCTGCCGGGCAGGCCGCCGACGCGGGCGCGCGGCGGCCCGACAAGCCAGCCCTCGAGGAGGGCCCGCCGCCGCCGCCCGGCGCCGCCGCCGCCGCCGCCGGAGGGCGGCGGCCCGAGCGGTTGCCCGAGGACCGGGGCGCGGGAGTCGCCCGCTTCTCGTGGGACGCACGCAGTTGGGCGCGTCGCGAGAAGAGGAGGGGGAGGAGGAGGAGGAGGAGGAGGAGGAGGAGGAGAGGAGGAGGAGAGGAGGAGGAAGGAGGAGGGGAGGAGGAGGAGGAGGAGAGGAGGACGAGGGTGAGGAGGAGGAAGAGGAGGAGGAGGAGGAGGAGGAGGAGCAGCAGCAGCAGCAGCAGAGGAGCAGGAGCAGGAGGAGCAGGAGGAGGAGAGGGGGGAGGGCGACGGCGGCGGGCGGCTGCCCGAGCGGCTGCCCGAGGACCGGGGCGTGGGACTCGCCCGCTTCCCAGGCCTCAGCATCGCCATGGAAAAATCACAGCGGACTGGTGTTTGGCAGCTTTTGGCCTCTGGGGTCCTTCGCTGGGCCCAAAGACGGTCCAAAAACGACCCAGGATGAAAAGCAGGTCTGGGGGAACGGGTCGAGACCTCGGGGGGTCCAGACCATGAAAAAACACGGCGTCGGCTTCTCCAAATCCAACGATTCGTTCTTAAGTTCTGCTCCAGGCCTCCCAAATGGGGTCAGAGTAGATGGGGTCAGGAGATCGTATTCGACGTGGAGCCCAATCTTCTCCACGAGGACGCCGCCGGTGCATCGCCGACGTCGCCGATGCATCGCCGATGCATCCGCGATGCGACGAGATCGCCCGACCCCATTTACTCCGACCAAATATGGGTGGTTGTTGTTCTCTTGTTTTGAGG